TGACCCTCCCCAACCCGGGTTAGCCCCTAACCCAAATGGACTAGCCCATTTAAATCCGAATTTAATATGAGCTTAAATTTTATAACCCAACCCATCTCATTTTTAATTAAATATGAGTCAACCCGATAGGCTAAGCCCATATTGACAGGTCTAGGTCTAGATGCAGCTCCAGTTATGCTTTTGTTGGTGACTTTATCTTCTATTTTTTAATGGCCAAAAGGGTTTATTCAAGCAGCAAGGAGCTCAAACACATGGAGCAACAGTTTGACAGGGATGATAGTTTATTTATTTGATTCCTAAAGATCTTGGGCAGAGTGCTACATAGAGAGAGAGAGAGAGAAGGCAATATCGATATAGTTTCAGACAATTTGGCAATGGCGAGGCAAGTGGGAATCGTTGGAGCTGGTATAAGTGGCCTCCTGGCCTGTAAATACACCTTGTCAAAAGGTTTCCATCCAGTTGTTTTCGAGTCCCAAAGCAGCGTTGGAGGGGTATGGACCCAAACGGTGGGGACTACAAGGCTCCAAACTCCCAGGTCAAATTATCAGTTCTCAGATTTTCCTTGGCCATCTTCAGTCACAGATGATTTCCCTAACCAACACGATGTCTTCGATTACGTTAAGGCGTATGCACAACATTTTGACTTGCTTAAGCACATCAAATTCAACACCAAAGTTGCTGGTATTGAGTATGAAGGCCCCCCTGATGAAGAGATCCGATCTTGGAGTTTATGGGGTGGCACTGGTGAGCCCTTTGGCTCCAAAGGGAAATGGAAGGTCATCGTGGAAGACTTGGAAAGCCTTTCAACTGAGGTATGAGAATCTTCCTCGTCATAATTCAGAGGATAAATAGTGATTTATATGACAAAAAAAAGTTATCATAATTCTGAGACTTGTAAAATTCATTGCAGATTTACCTAGTGGACTTTGTAATCGTTTGTGTGGGGCGGTTCAGTGGTCTGCCAAACATTCCAGAATTCCCCCCACACAAGGGCCCGGAAGCATTTCATGGTAAGGTAATACATTCCATGGACTATGCTGCCATGGATAATGAAAAGGCTGCTGAGTTCATCAAAGGCAAACGAGTCATTGTCGTTGGGTTCCAGAAATCTGCATTGGACATTGCAATGGAGTGCACTTTTGCAAATGGTAATCAGAATTTAATCTGAACTGCTGGAATTCATAGTTTTTTCCACATTAGACCAAGTAAAGTTCGCTCTTACCTCTTCGAGAACCGATAAATTTTGTGGACTTCATATGGAAAGGAACTTGTGATCATGTCTCAATGTGTTTGGTGTCGTTACAAGGAAATAAAATTTCTTTAAATTTCATTGGTTTACAGGGGTGGAAAATCCATGCACAGTTTTCTACAGGACTGCACACTGGAATGTCCCCGATTATCTTCCCTGGGGGATTCCACTTGGATATATGTATCTTAACCGATTCTCAGAGCTTATGGTTCATAAGCCTGGTGAAGGGCTTCTACTTGGTCTCTTAGCTACGATTCTAGCACCGCTGGTAACATTTCTCTTCATTCTTTACACCTTGTTATGTTCTGTTTCACTTTTGATCAATGAGCAATGTGCTTGCTCAGAAGCAAACGACAGTTTATCTGTGATTTCTATATTTGGATGGAACCTGTAAATATCAGATGACACCAGCCATTTATTTTCTTCACTCCTATTGTTTCTTCCACCGATTACTTGTAATTATTTGACAGAGATGGTCATATTCAAAATTTGTTGAAAGTGATATCAAAAGGAAGCTACGTTTAGCAAAGCATGGCACAGTACCCACACATAGCTTCCTCCATGAAATCAGTTCTTGCTTAATCTCAACGGTCCCAGAAAAATTCTATGACAAAGTTGAAGAAGGAAGAATCAAACTGAAAAAGGCTCCCAGCTTTAGTTTCTGTCACAATGGCGTTCTGGTGGAAGGTGAGACTACACCTGTTGAGGCAGACGTGGTCATCTTGGCCACCGGATTCAAGGGGGAGAAAAAGCTCGGAGACATTTTTCTGTCCCAAACCTTTCAGGACTACATGGCTGGATCACCTGATGCTGCAATGCCACTCTACAGGTTAATCTTTTTTCTTTGGGCAGTCAAGGAACGATTGTTCTGAAATTACTTAGATCAATTCTAATTAATTTCTTGTTTGATCACTGATCAGGGAGTGCATTCAACCTCATATACCTCAACTAGCTGTGATCGGATTCTCTGAGAGTGTGTCGAATTTGTACACCTCAGAGATAAGATGCCGATGGCTCGCAGAACTTCTTGATGGCACATTCAAGCTGCCTAGCATCAAAGAGATGGAAAAAGATGTGACAAAATGGGATGAATACCTGAAACGATACTCGGGTGAATACTATCGTAGGAAGTGCATCGGTGCTCTTCATGTTTGGTATAATGATCAACTCTGCAAAGATATGGGATGGAACCCCAGGCGGAAGAAGGGATTCTTTGCTGAACTTTTTGAGCCTTATGGTCCCTTGGATTATGTCCCCTCTTCAGCTGCCTCTTAGCCATGGGTTTGCTCATCCTTCGTTGTTTTATGAGTTTCATTCGTGTTTGTCCCCCTCTTTCGAGGGAATGAGTTTGGTATTGCTCCATGATACTTAATTCGAAGCACGATGTAAGAATAATTTATTTTTCTTATTTTGGGTAATAAAAGGAATAAGAAATATTAATACTATTTTATTTGTATTATATTTATTAAAAAGGTAATATGTTTTTTAAATTTAAGAAATTAAATTTCTTTCACTCATTGTCAATTGATTTTAATTTAAATTTATTTTGTTCTTATTTGTAAATTCTTTCATTAATTTTTTTTTTATTTATGTTACATGATAAGTTCGTGATTCCTACCCTGGGGAATCACGTTAATAAATTTATACAAGATAAATTTTTTTAAATATTATTAATAAATTTTAAATCTCGTTAAAAAAAAAAAGAGAATATCCAATGAATATTTTTGACCAGGGAACCGATGCCTACTATTTAAGGCCATGAATCACATTGAGCCGAAGAGGCCCAATGAGTATGTCTCGAATGAGAACCATGCCTAGGGAGACGTTTGCTTGTTTATTTTTCCTTCAATTTCTTTACCTCTTTCCTGGTTGAAGTTAGGAGTGGGATTCATACTCAATATGCCCTTTTAAACTTGACATTTGCATGGGTTTATTAAATCTAGTTTATTTTTGGTTCCCATCGGTGGAAAAAGACTTGAGTTCTTGTTATAGTAAGTCTAGCTACTCTCTATTACTCTGTCAGGAGGAAAGATGAGCTAAGAAGAATCAAATCAAAAGACCAGCTTCTATTATGGAGCAGAACGGTCCAACCAGCCAGGCCCAGAAAATGGGTGACAAGGATTCACGTTAAGGGTGTTTATTTATTACTCAATTCTTTTCTAACGATTAATCGATCACTCGGTTCAAGTGATGAGCCTACCTTTCCGTATCAGCCAAGTAGTCATGGTTTCAAGATTTTCTTTGATGGGAGAAAACTGGTTAGGTGTTCCAAGTTTCAGTGTCTGAACATGTTGATCAAATGGAGAAGCAAACAGCCATCGTTGGTGATGGTATTAGCAGCCTCCTCGCATGCAAGCACACCCTCTCAAAGGGTTACCATCCGATAGTTTTCGAGTCCCAAAGCAGCATCGGAGGAGTCTGGACCACCACTTGAGACGACAAAATTTCTGACCTCAAAACAATTTTACCAGTTCTCAGATTTTCCATGGTCATCTTCAGTCGCAGAAGAGTTCCCTAGCCAGCATCAAGTACTGGAGTACATTGAAGCTTATGCTCATCATTTTTACTTGCTTCGGCATGTCAGATTCAATGCCAAAGTCATTAGAGTTGACTTCGAAGGGCATTCGGATGAAGAGATGCGATCTTGGCATCTTTGGGGTGGGACTGATGAGCCCTTCAACTCCAAAGGAAAGTGGAATATTGTTGTACAGGACACCCAGAATCATTCTACAGAGGTATGTAATTAAGTTTATAATCATAATGTCATGACTTGGATGAATTTTCTTTTAAATGTGAAATTCAGGTTTACCAGGTGGACTTCGTAGTCCTTGGCCTCGGCCGGTTCAGTGGCATTCCAAACATTCCATCGTTTCCTCCAGGAAAAAGGCCAGCAACCTTTCACGGTGAGGTAATACACTCCATGGATTATGCTGCCATGGATTACAAACTTGCTGCTAAATGCATCAAAGGGAAGCAAATTGTTGTCGTTGGACTCTAGAAATCTGCCTTGGACATTGCAATGGAATGTTCTTCAGCAAATGGTAAGATTACAAAGTTTCTTTAGTTCTAAGATGTATGCAAAACTCACAGGCTGGATTTTCTGACATGAAGTTTCAATCTAATCCTGTTTCCAGGCGTAGAACTTCCTTGTGCAGTATTATACAAGCCCGAACGTTGGGGCGTCCCGAATTACCTTCCATGGGGCGTGCTGCTAGCTTATTTATACCTCAATCGCTTCTCAGAGCTTTTGGTTCATAAGCCTGGTGAAGGCTTCCTCCTCAGTTCATTGGCAACAATTCTTTCACCTCTGGTAACTAATAAAATTTCTTATCTAAAGTATATTTTGAGCACCTTCAGGAAATTATCTGCAGCAGACTGAAATCGGTTCTTTGCTATTAAACAGAGATGGGTATTCTCAAAAATTGTCCAGAGTTACATCAAATGGAAGCTGCCTTTGGCAAAGTTTGGGATGGTACCAAAGCACAGCTTTCATCAAGAAATTAGCTCCTGTTTGACCTCAATGGTGCCAAAAAACTTCTATGATAAGAGTTGAGGAAGGAAGCATCTTACTGAAGACGACCCAAAATACAGGCTTCTGCAAAGAAGGCACAATGGTAGATGACGAAGATTCACCTCTAAAGGCAGATCTGGTGATACTGGCTACTGGATTCAAGGGAGATATAAAGCTTAGAGACATTTTTGCATCCCCCACTTTTCGAGACTGCATAGCTGGCTCGCCTGAAGCAAGAGTTCCACTCTACAGGTTGAGAATCTTAACCAGCTATATGTTCAAACCTTAGTTTCATAAAATTAAACAAGTAACCAGAAAAAAGATAAAAGTATGAGAAAATTGTACCTTCTTTTTCCAGTTAAGGGTTTAAAGAATTGTAACTTAACACTAACCAGGATAACTTAACTGGTTTATTGTGCCACCAGGGAATGTATTCATCCCTGAATTCCCCATGTACCAGTAATTGAGTTCTCAGAAAGCAATGCAAACTTGTTCACATCAGAAATAAGATGTAGATGGTTAGCAGAGCTTCTGGACAGCACATTCAAGCTACCCAGCATTAAGGAGATGGAGGAAGATGTGGGAAAATGGGATAAATACATGAAGGAAAATTCCGGCCAAGACTACCGAAGATCATGCATCGGTGTCCTTCATATCTGGTACAATGATCAACTCTACAGGGACATGGGACTGAATCCTAAGAGAAAAAAGGGTTTCTTTGCTGAATTATTTGAACCTTATGGCCCCATGGATTATGCTTCTTCCTCTTAAATGGAACGATGCTTACTGCACTCAAACTTTATTTGGAGTAAATTTCACCTAGGTCACTAAACTTTTACCTCATTCCAACGTAAGATATCTTTATCTCAAAGATGCTTACAGTAATAACATTATGTTAATAATGTATTGAAAGTATAGCTCATGAATCATGGTTTTTAATATTTTGCTGTTTTATATATTTATGTACATGGTAACATATATTTATAATTTTCAATAATTACATTTGTTATTACAATCTGCAACCACTAATAGATTTTTTCAGAAAAGAAAAGAAAATTTTTCTTTAAAAGTGAACCGCTTATGTAAGATTAATACTAATAAAATTCAAAGTGATATGCTAATTAAATTTCAACTGAGACAAAGTAAAAACTTCCTTCAACTTTTCATAATCACATAATACTATAAAAAGAAAACAAATTAGGATTTTTAATGGACCAATTAACCCCATTGCAAATCCGTCTCTGTCAACATGATAAGCTCACCAAAAACACAACAGAAGCAGTTGAGTAGCTACCTCTGAACTGTGGTTTTATGAGCATACACTGAACTCAGCTCTCTCAAAGTCCCTATGCAGGAACCACCAAGGCCCCGTTTTTGATAGTATTCTGAAAAAAAGAAGAATAGGAAAGATAATTACTTGACTATATAGGTAACAAACTGCATACATTGAATATATGAAGCAATACTAATTTAGCATGTAAAGGGCACCTCAGGCAGTTAAAAACTTAAAAGAAATGGTCAAGTACAGGTATAAAACATTGAAAACAACATATCAAGAAGGCCACATACTATTTACAAGAGATTGTTAGCAAATATATTTAACTTGTGTTGTGTGCATATGCGCGCAATTTTTAATACTCTTGACAGTAAGCATTATTGTTATAAATACTTGTGACGATTAACTGCCCAATATTCTGTGAATATAATTTCTAATCAATTAGCCCTTGACTGACAGCCTAAGACTCAAGCCTCCAAATGGTTTTGGAAGATAGAACATTACTCATGACATATAAAAGCATGCCAGTAAAATCTACCTCACAAATCCTGCAGTCATTCGCAGACCCATAAAGAGAGTCAAGCCCAACCAAACTCCTTGAAGACCAAGAACCGTAGGAGCAAAGAGTAAAAATGCAGAAGACATTGCACCCACCAACATCTAGAAATCACATAAAATGAATGTTAGAAGAAGCAAAGTTCACGCATAAAATAAGGGACCTAGAAATTTTCAAAGTAGCAGCTTACCATGGAACAAGCTGCATATGGGAAGTCTGAGACACCATAATGGAGACCATCAAATATAAATGCTAAAGCATTTATTGGTTGACTAGCACTGACGAACTGTAAATTTTTCAGAAGAAATCATCATTTACATATCAGGACACCAGATTCATGCAAACAAATAAAGGGAGGAGTTTATTGGATATTGATTTGGATACTTACCAGTATCCCAGTTTTAACAATTCCTAGAACTTCAGCATCTTGGGTGAACAAGGTGGCCAAAGAACCAAAGGATACACCCAAGATTGCAGCCAATGAAACACCTGTGACAAACCCTATCTGTAAAACCATGCACGTCAAGTTAGTGAACAGTATTTAAAGTCAGAATATCAACATAATGAGTCTAGATAGCCAATAAAGCCAAAACCAGAAACAGTGCGGCAAGCAGAAAGCAAATGTAGAAGCTCCAAGCAAAGCTTACCTTCAACACAAAGTTCGTAATTTCCTTCACAGTCTTTAACTCACCTTTAGAAAGAGAACTTGCAATTAAGGCCTACAAGAAAATAAAGGTTAGGAAGAAGAAGTGCCTCATTCTCCCAAATTCCAGGAAAGCTTAGAATATCTTCACACACACAAAATTCAAAAAAAATACTGCATGTTGTGTGTATAACTATTACCAAGGAGCTGAATCCAGGGGACCTATTTTACCTCCAATTTATGCTGTCTCACGTTATCTCAGTGATTATTTTGGTCAAAATCTCAATATTTATATCACACAGTATCACATGGGATGATAAATGAGTAGGTACCATCATTATAACAATTTAGAAAGATACTCAGGAGACTTATGTACCTGACCAGATGCTGCAAGTGCGTCAGTAAGAAGAGATACAGCCAGCCATACTTGCAAGCATATCTGATGTGCAGCCATAGACGGTGAACCTTGACGAGCAGCCATAGAAGTCCCCAGTGTCATTGTCATTAGCAGTGCAAGAGTTCTTCCTATAAGAAAACCACCTGTAGAAAACCACTTTCAGTAAGATAAAATAAGTAGTATAAATAGTATATATCCAAGAACATAAAAGTGTAGGCATCCTAAGTAGAGAAAGGATTATAAAATGGAGGGCTACAATCATAATAACAAAAACTGTTTTCCTCTAGCACAACATTGTCTCTCAAAACTAGTAAAAAATTACCAGATTTTATGTAGGTACCAAATTGCAATTCCCCCATCTTTGGAGGCATTAATACAACTCTCTTGTTTAAATACCTGATCATCAAAAAGCTAACAATGTACCTGATAAAAAAAATATTGCAGGGTCATTACCATGGGAAGCACAGTATTTAAGAAAAGAAGGGAATCAATGCCTGAAGCAGATATACTTACTGAGATAAAACAGTGGAGAGAGCTGCTCCAGTCACACCCATTCCAAAGCCATACATAAGTAAGGGCAAAAAGAATATGGCTAATAAATTACCAACACCTGAATTTGCAGCAACCACATTAATTACTGAAAAGGATATTACAGAAAAGCTATCTAGCACATTGATCATTACCAACAGTGGAAAACAAAGGAAATAACAACAAAAGATCTTGCATAATGAACTACTATGGGCTTTGCACAAATCAACTCTACCATTCTTCTATACAGACTACTAGCCCTTCAATCTCCACAGTCACTGTTAAAAGCAGATAAATGATTGTTTATAAGAAAAAAAGGAGGAGGCAAGCCATCCCAAGATGTACATAAAAGATTGAGGTCAACCAGAATAGTTAGTGCCCAAAAGAAAATAGACTGGCGCCAATTTAAAACATTATTAACCAGAGGTGGTTTTATTCCACGGGGTAAAAGAGTGGGTGCAACAGAATACATATTAGGTTCTACTCTCCTCCCCAATAACACCGAGAAAAAGAAAAAAGGAACTGGAATTTCAAATATTTTACCCTTAGATTTCTGAATCCTCAGGTGTCAGGCTTGTAAGTCTTCACTAAAATTTAAATGATTTCTACATACGCACTGTTACTAGTTATGAAAGGCCTATGCAGCAATTTGCTGCCAAATTTTCATCCTAAAGCTAAATGATAAACAAAGTGTCAACGCGCATACATTACATTCCCTGTATTCTAAGATATTGAGTCAACAAAAAGTAGACACATAAACAGAACTCAATCCAGGCACACCCCTTCAATGTCAAACTAAATACTTGCCTAAACAAAAAACAGGAGTCTTTGTATCTTTAAACCCCCGAAAAATTCCTTGAAGAGCCAAAGAGACTACCACAGCGGGAGCACCAAGAGCTCTAAGAGAAAGAAATTGCTGTGCTGGAGAATGCATATCTGATGTCTGTTAAGAGGATAATAACAAGAAAAGAACCTTCCACATTAATAACTAGCACAGTATTTTAGCAAAGAAACGATAAAAGATAAGCCAAAATAAATATGTCAATAAAACTAAACTTACTGAGGGTACTCCCATCAAATTAAGAAATGGTCCAGATCCCAAAGACAATACCAAGGCCTCAAAGATGCCAATCAAAACTGCTAGAACTAAAGCTGTAGACACTGAGGATAATTGCTTTCTTTCAGCTATACCATCCGGAGTCTTACCATTAGCACGCTCCCCTTCAACATAAAAATCAGTTAATCAAATATCAAGTGAAAATGTTCAGTCATCTACTTCTGTCAGGAAATTAATCAAAAGCCATCGCGCATCAACTGTGACCATAAATTCACCTGCTGACAAATTTTCAACTGCATTCTTTGAGATGTCCTCAGCGACAAAGGAAGTAGCAACACTGAGGAGGGGCATATTAAACAACTTTGATACTATGTTAAACACTGATATGGAAACACCAGCTGAAGCCAATGCCACAGAACCTGGAAAAAAGCAACAAAAGGAATCTGTCAATAAAGATAATAAAGCGTTGATTTCAAATTTTGAAGCCTGAAAAATTGTGTGGACCAAAAGCAGATTCTACCAATTTTCAAGATTCAATTACATGAAGCCAGGGCAAAACAATTTAAAAATACAAACTTATTGACTCGTAATTTGGAAAGAAAATTAATTTTTGAAGCAGCAATGTGTTGCAATTTGCAATAGAGATTAGATTACTGCAGAGCACAGTTGTTAAAAAACAATACATCCTTCAGACAACTATATAGAGATGCCCTACATAATTAAAAGCAAAGATGAAAAATAAAATCCACAGTCAAAAACCAAAACCAAATTTTTAGTCTTCTACCAAAGACTAATATCAAGGGCAACAACAAATCAAAAGAAGGAAAATTAGCACTATTTTTGTGATTATAACAATGGGACAACAAATTAAATCAAAGATTAGATTATACTTAATCTTCCAATGTATGCTGTCTCCATCAGCTGTGCTAAGGGATCAATAGCCTGTCCAGCAATCGCAGGCAGAGAAAGCATAATAAGTTCCCTCTTGACATCTACCGATGTTCCTGCCACTTCACTGCAATGTAAAAATTTCAATAATCAGCAAAAGAGTTTCAGAGCCCAGTCATAAAGGCAGAGGCCAAGAATGAAACAGCAATAGATTGCCATGGTACTCAAATAATTCTTGAATCTGACAGTTCGTCAGGATGAATAATACATTACATTATGTCACACACTATGTTACATTAATCATTGCTTAAAGTTTAGTTTACCGTTCTGCTAGCGGGCAAAAAAACATTATAATGCAGAGACTATCTCTGTGATTTTCATAGCCATTGCACAAATCAACCCACAGCAAAACTACAAATCATCTAAAGAAACAATAGATATATATGCAGATATCACACACAAATATTAAGGAAACTAACCACTGCTCGCATTACTATACAACTTTAAAAACGATATAACTACAAAATCTGATAAATATATACAGCAGAAATAAGCAGACAATGGGTCATAAAAGACTTACCGGGCATAGACATTTTCAGTTGAATTTAACAGGGCAGTATCCTCTTCTTCGTTCGACGCAAGTGTCTCCTCCACATCTTCCACACCAAAGTCAGACCTGAACTGATTGCGAAACACCGGAAAACGGGAATTTCTATGTGCCACCAAAGGTGACAACAACGAATTTCTATGTATTGCAGATAAATGGCAGTTTCGCGCACCATCTGCGCAGCCCAATTCCTTCCTAAATTTACAAAATTTAGTTTGGTTTAATAAAGAATGGGAGCTTGTAGACTTGTTTATCTTGTTCCATTCCCTCTTCCTATTTGTCAATCCTCCAGAAATTGTAGGACCTTTGAATCTTGTAAGCGTCATTCCCCAGAATTATCAGTTCTTCTACCTACCAAAACTGGAAAATTACATAAGACAAAATTAGATAAAAATACGAAAAATTTTCATCTCAAGAAACTTTACTTTTAACACAGCAAGATAAGTGGAAGAAGGTAGAAAAGAAGAAAAATCAAAATTTGATTCAAACCCAATATATATAATTATCTAGTTTACACAAAAGCAAATTCCTTTTTCGTTTTTCTTTTGGTTTTAACTTCAAATGGTGAAACTAAGAACAGAAATGAAACTCGAAAAAGAAACAAAGGAAACAGCGAAAACATCTGAATTACAACAAATCTTTATCATGCAATGATGGAAATCAAATTCCGTTATTAAGACTAGAAACAAAAATCTCCCGTGAGGGATTTTTCCGTTTGGTTCTCGAGAAAACGAAAAAAAGGAAGGACGAGAAATTACGTAAAGAAAAAGGAAGAGAAATGAAAGGAAATTGCTACCGCTCTTGGAAGTAAGGCGAGTGGGTAGGGTTTTAAAAAGTTAGGAAAAACAATTCAAAAAAAGTACAAAAAGAAAGAATCTTTAAGCGGTTTATCGTATCGCCATTGACGCCATAGAGAAGCAGTTTCAACATTAAAAACACTTGGAAAGCGAAACCGCGGAGCCGATAACCGCACTGCTGGTTTTTCTTTTCTTATTATTATTATTTTATTTTTGGTGGGCGTGGATTTTAAGCATTGCTAATGGGGCTTACGTGGCCCAATCAGTGGGCTTTTTAGAGAAATTGGGCCTAGAACTGTCCAAGACAAAAACAAAACCCAAATTAATTTATTTTTCTTAATTTTATAAAACCTATTAGTATGAAATTTTGTGAGAGCTAGTAAAATTAATTTTATGAAATTTTTTTTTTCTAAAAATAACCAGGAAACTAAGCATTAAAATTATAAAGTTCTGATAATAATAAGAACAATAATTTCTGGTAAAAAGACTAAGCATCAAAATCCAATTAATCTTGAAATGACATGAAACTTTTAATAATTGAATTTAATTTTAAAATAGTTTATTTTTAGATATACAATGAAAATTTTTAGTCATGGGATAACCAGTACATATTTAATGAAATTGACAGCTCAAGTAAAATTATGGATGATATTAGTTTTGTCTACAACTTTAGGGAAGTTAATATTTTTATTAATTTTCTTGTTAAATTTAATATTGATAAAACGAAACTATGCACAGGTGTCAGTACGTATCTTTGTGATTGATCATCTTAATCAAGAAAATTTTGTGTTGACTGAGAAAAAGAAAAATCAAAACCCAATTAACTTATGGTCAAGACTTGCATAGAAGTCTTGAGAGAGAAGCAATCCAATAGGATGAAAACAACATTAATGAATGCATCAAAGTGAAAAGAAGCTTTTTGGGTTTAGGCCAACTATGGGCCATGGAGAAAGGAGCCACCAGGTTTCCTTTTTTCAGAAAACTTAGCATGTATTCCGTCTGATGTTGATCCTATTATCTCAGGCAGACTCTAACCATCTAAACGCTTTTTGATCAGTTGACTCGCCAATGAAAAGAAGTTTATTCACCCAAACCCATGTGCCTCGACCAAATCTACGATTTCTGATACAGTATTCGTCAAACAAAGGAAATATGCTTTACATTGCAATGGTCTGCTCCCCGTTTTCTCATGTGGTACTATGGAAGCGGATGGACTCCCATAGGAGTTGACTGCCAACATTTTATTGGAAGAGATGAAAGCAAAGCAAGATCAAGATGCATAGAAAGTCCCAATTCAAACTGATCCTTGTAACATCATTGCTTGGAGTAGTTTCTGTTCGTCCAAAAGAGAAAGAAGAAGAAGATTTGTGAGTACTGGGTTCGAATCAGCAACGATATCAATGGCAGAGGAGATGGATTTTCATCAGTCCCATGTCAGTAATGTTTATGGCCAGGATAAATACTACTTGTTTGAACAATTTAGCAGAAAGGGAAATACTGGAAATGGTACTATAGAGTGATATTCCTAGACTATGTTACTTGGACTCTGCAGTGTCAGGTATGTGTCTGACACGGTACATTTAATTCCTTTCTAGGTTTTTTATATATTAGAGGGTCAGCTCTTTGTGTTCATGTCCGTTAGATATGTGTCGGATTCAGATATTTCAAGAAGAACAGAGTTGGAACAACATCGTTCCTAGATAAAGAGCAACATAGTGAAACAATGCGTGCAAATTAAGACAGCATAAAGAGTTCTATCGACTTACGTGAACAAGTGGAGTCCTGTACAAGGGTTGTGAAGATGATTGAGTTGTTATATCCAGCATAGGAACAGGTTGAGCGATTGCAACCAGAAGTGGTACTATTGCCAAGGGATAAACCATCTGAAGCTCCACATTGCATAGATGGGCACGTCTCCCACCTGGATGGTTTATTCTGGGATGGTTCACAACGTAATCTGACCAATCCACCGTAGATATACACATAAATCAGATCCTGATGAAATTAGGAAACTGAAAAGGTCAAAATTCCTAAAATGACGAGGCATTTGAAGATAAGCTTACGTCGAGTTGTTAGCAGCAGCATCGCATGTGCACCACACACAACCATTAGCAGTGAAGACGTATGTTCCATTAGCAGCGAGTAAAGGAAAGTCCAAGGAGTCACTTCTTATTGATGAGTTACAGGCTGCAGAAAAAGATGAAAAACGTCAAATTGAAATGCAAGATTGTCTACTATCATTGATCCCACAAATATCAGTAATTTTCCACCAGCCAGGCCTAGTCACTGGGCCCAAGCACCCAACAAAAAGCCTCTACTCTCTAGCAGGATTGAAGCTGGAGAGATTAGCAGAATAAATATATCAGACAAACAATTAGCAGTATATGGCAAACAATCACTGTCCAAGCTATCTAAAAATATATCTGCCATCACCCCCACAGGCACCACAACCATAAAAAAATCATGTCTGCAAAGGATTAAAAGAACTAGAAATGTGTAACCAGGATATGGATGAGTGGATATTCAAATACTAACATCCAAAGGTATTGAGACCATATCACGAGATCAAACATTTTGCTAGTCGACACCACCGGTGATGAAGGAAAAACAAATTAGGTTGTGGGCCATAACCTTTCAATATGATTTGACAAGACTGGCAGTGGTCACTTTTGATATTGAAATTGTGAATCAGTCACAACAAGACAGCGGTACCACCGCATCTCTTTAATTAATCACTTAATGCTCTTTCAGATACTATGTCAAAGGTGTGAAAAGGGTTATAAATGAAAAAGTTACTCCTGTACCTTTAAGAGGAACATCGATTGGTTCGCCAGCTATTAACTGATTCTCGGCGGTTATGTTATTAATCCTACTCAAAGTCCCTTCATCAGTTCCAAACTCACTAGCAATCTCCTCCAAGGAACTCTCTGGCTTCACAATATGTGCATAATGCACCACTTTCTCGCCGTTCACGTCATCACAGCTACACGGCAACGGGATTTTCAGCTCCTGCCCGGGCATTATCAAACTGGAATTCGCAATCCCATTGGCTTCCGTAATTTGCTGGAACGTCACTAACCTCGAGAAAATCTCAGCTGCTATGTGGTAAAGAGTGTCACCTTCTTTCACCTCGTAGATTGGAGCCCCGCCGGAAGTTCCGGTGTTGTTGTAGCAAACGCAGTTGATGGGGATTTTGATGACTTGTTGTGCAGATATGTTGTGGGTGCGTGGAGTGGAGACAGATAAGCCGTTAGCTCCGAGGATACTCCGGAGGTTCTTGACGTTGAAAAGAGATTGAATAGTGCCGAGGTCGGTGTTGTTGACGGTGACGTAGCCGACCAGGGCACGGCATGATCTCGGTGAGCTACAGTTGAAGCCTTGAGCCGCGGAGTGCTCTAGAGTCAGAGATGAGAGCAACGGAAGAAGAAGAAGAACAAACAGCTTAGCAAAAGCAAAACCCATATTTCTCTTTTGCAGCTTTTGTCTTCTGCTTCTTCTTCTTTGCTGGTTGGTGGGTTATTTAAATGAAGGGTTCGGGAGTGGGGCAAGTTAGGCAGGGTTGAAAGCTGGAAGTGTGGACAGAAGGAGACGAGGGGACTTGCGTTGTGTTTACAACAGAGACATTTGCGTATTTTGACTGAGAAGACTTTGAAGTTTCTAACAGTCTCTGGCTGAAAGTCTTGTTCGGTTGAGTCTTGTTTTTGATTGGACAGGGTTTGAGGGAAAATTGTCTTCCTCTGCATTCACATTCTCGAATCTGTCTGAATGTGAGCTTTGCTTTTACTGTATCTAGATTTTACCTTCCTTGCTGCAACTTGTTGGGTGTTCCACAAGATCTTTCGCTGCTGAAAAGTCACCGTCGATAAATGATGTTTTAATTCCGAGCCAGCCTTCATTTATTTCCCCACTGTATGAACAAACAAGTACAACCACGGAAAAGCACTCTGAATTGTTAATGGATGGCTTGAGTCAATCCCAGCATTATTTGCAGCATTAATGGCCCAAAATGACCAGAATTTTCCTTATCATCGATGATAGTACTAGCCACTGGTGCACCAACAAGAGAAGAAAATATCCAATTGACTTCCGAAGTTGCATATATATATATATTTATTTATTTATTTATAGAGGAATACTGACACAGAGAGAGCCAAACATGTGAATGCTGGAATATTTTCCTAGTTTATCTTTTTGTTATCGTGCAGCTTTCAAGGCTTATTTTATAAAGCGGAAAGGGCGTAACTGGGCCCAGCTAGCGGATTATTCACACCATTATTAGCAAACCAGTTGTCCCGATCGTTCTATAATTTTATATTGACGTGTGCACTGGTGTAGCTTTTATTCCTATGCCTTATGTCGTGGGCAAAGGAATTAACCGACAGGCTATAATATCAACAAATAAGCAATTTCACAATTAAACTTTCTATTTTTATCATATCCAATTAAATTTGTTTAATCTTTTTTTACACTCAAGTGAGTTTCTATTCTTTTATTTTATCTAATTGAATTTTTATCTCATAACAAATATGTATAACAAACGTAACAATAATCACTTGCTATGAAATCTGACGTGATGTACACAGAAAATTACACTAACAACGTATTTTCCAGTGACAATTATCACTTGCTATGTTCGTAAAATCTAATATGGCATATATAGAAAGTGATACCTGTCACGACCTGTCAGTGACAATAACAATCTGTTGCATTTTCATCATGAGATAAAGATTAAATTGAGTAAAATAAAAAATAAAAAAAAATTCAAGAGCCTTTTTATTATTTAAATCTCAAAGAAACCCTAGCTTTGGACTTTTGGACAGTCGGCAACTTGCCCAAAAAGTAATCATCATTCGATCTGTGCCCATTGGAAATGAAGTTTGGGCAAAGTAGACAACAAGAACAATTCGAAGGACCAACCAGATGTTCAGGAATATGGAGCAGAGTTCTGAGCAAAACTGAAGCAGCACTACCAAGGCCTGGCTTGCAGTACCGACCTTGTTCTATTTGAAAAACAAACCTACCATCAGAAACCATGCTAAGCAATTCTTTAATAGGCGCTTCCTTTCCATTTTCACATCCGAATACACCAACAAATTCTAAGATGAAAAATCAGCATTCAATTAAAAGAAAAATCAAGTGCAGCCATGCCTTCAACCGTAAATACAACTAAATAAAACAACCAAATGTACACTATGCTATCACTTTTCCTCCAGTCGCAGAAGCACGGACTCAGCAAAGCTTTGTTGCCTGCAATCGCGAAATGATCCATTCAGACATATGGTTTTATCTGCTATTCTTAGTTCCAGAAACCAGTTCAGCAATTCAAAGCATAGAAGTAACAATTGAACGGTATATCAAAATCTGACAATAATATTAATTGGCAAGACTTTAAGGGATCCAATACCTTGCAGCAAATAATTAGTTCATCTAAAAGGAATAAAATGACACAATCACAAATTTAAAAGCCTACATTGATGAATTATGCGCAAACACAAATCAACAATTCAGCATAAAATCTTATTATATATAAAAGTCAGTTAAAACTTGTCCTTATGCTGCATATGTCAAAGAATAGAAAAACCCTGCTGTAATGATTGGTTAACAAGGGCAAGGGACCTGGTTGTAACCATGTGGATAAATAATTTTAGATAGTAATTTGTTAATGCATTGACATGAAAAGCTTTATCTTTGTGGTATTAACAACAAGAGGGCCATAAAGCACCAAGCATGACCTCATAGTTGTAGTTTACCATTTTAGATGGCCCATGCATCTATGTATTTACAAATAATACACATGTAGAAAAATTAGATGATTAGTGACAGGCATCTACCTAAAACACAAACGCAATTCTAATGATATTAGAAGTTAACACAACCAGGAAAGAGGGGAAAGGAATTGGAGAGGTTTGTCTTACTTTCGCTCTCTATGCTTAGGGCTAGGGCGAGAGTACTTCAAATATCCGTCCCATGGAACCTTTTTAAGACCTGCTCGAACAGATATTATGTCTCTGACCCTGCATAAAGGAATATTAACTGAATCAAAGCCACTGCTTTCAAAATGCCAATACAAAGAATAAAGGCTAACAGATGATTGGCGTCCTCAATTATTGATTGCAACTAGTTAAGAACAGTACTTACCTCTCTGCAAATTCAATTGGTGTTTCTCCAGGCCTTAGATTTTGGGGTTCTAGGTACCACACGTCACAAACAACAGCCCAGGATGTCATAAGCTGCAACAGATGCATCGTGAAGGACTGCCTGCGAGAAATGTAATATTGGTATGAAATGACAAAAGTGAAGTGAACAAGACACAACAATGATCTATATCTTGCTACACCACAAAGTTTTTTCCCGACAAGTGGAGTGGGAACTAGTGGGAATATTTTTAGCAGCTTTACCTAGTGGCACTAAAAGATGTTCCCAGATGAATTCTGCTGGATATTCACATATCCATTGCATCTTTTAACCCAAGAAATGATGTACTCTCAACAGACTGAAAGTAGCATGTTTCAGTTTGAACACCAAAACCCATTTACACCTCATGAACAGATTGAATTCCTTTCCCTTTTTCTTGGTACACACACTCACGCTGGTGAAATATCAAACTGGTAACATAGTTTGCACAATATTCTTGGGGAACACAGTGTTTTGCCCAAAGGAATCAACACCTTTGAGCACACAGTGATCAGATAAATATCCAGGAATATGAAAAGAAATTGATCCAACCCAAAAAAACTCTCCTAACAAAATCTCAGAGTACACATATATACAAGTCATTTCATATCTATGTGTAGGAACAAAATTTGAGCACTTGATGATGAATTCCTTACTTCCGGCTATTCCAAAACGCATCAACAAAAATTTTATTGTAGTTGATTGCAATCGGACAAACTGTGCAACCGAGTTCGAATGCACCCTAAACATAGCCAGAGAAAACAAGTTAAAGAAAGTTCGAAGCATAAGAAAGGAACAACTAAGCAGTTCTCCCCAAAATACAAACAGCTATACCTTCTTAAACATAACACTGTACTGATTGTTTACACAGGTCCCTTCAGGAAAAATGAGAAGCGGGTTATTGTCAACCCCCTGAACATGATCCCTTAACCTGAAATTCACAAGTTTATGCAATCATGAGAGGGAAAACACATTGATATGAACATTTTCCCCCATTCTGATTGTACTTACTTCTTTGCTACAATTTCACGATCTTTTGCCTCTGAACGGTTGAACCAAATACACCCTACACTCTCTAAAATAGTGCTCTGCAACAGTCCTATACATAGAAAGAAGCTGAATAGTTTATTTCATCCACTCAATATACACAAAACATAAACCTAATCCTCACTCCAATACTGTCATCAAAATCTACTTTAAGAAAGCCAAAACAGCAGAGCACCTGTAATTGTTTTCATTCAACTTGAAAAGATGGAAAGGGGCATCTTAAATTTTTAAAGCATAGCCATAAATTCCTATATAACAACAAAGCCATTACATGTGGATCACCCTACTTCTTCCACCTAAAGTTATTCAACACATGTATAGTCCATAGCAGGCATCATAAAACTAAGTGGCAAGGACATGCTTTCTCTCTCACTAACATTTGGGCTCTAATCTGTAGGGAATAAGAGACAAAAATAGAAAAGGTATAAGATATAGCCATAAAATCTTGAAGCTCATAGAAACAGAAACAATATAGAACAACAGAAAAGGGAGAAATTTTAGAAAAAGAAAGATATGTATTTCCCAATAAAGATTTTCGTGTGAAAAATAGAAGCAAAGAAATTCTATACACGTCAATAATCCAATATTAAAGTCGGAGCGAGGGCTGTCACTGGTGAATTTAAAACCTGACATACAACCAGAAGTAAGGAAACATAATTCAGGAGCACATCGGAAAGCATGCAACAGAAATAATCAGCTATTTTAGAATCCTCTGAAACATTAAAATCTAAAAACATCATTTTTAAGTAAGCATGTTTGCATTACTACTTACCAACCCATCCAGGGTGCTTCTGCATAATGACAGCAAATGCAGTCATCTGTTCTAATATGATGAAATCAATCATAGAAGTATGATTGGCCACAAACACCTGTTTGACGCATGGAAGGAATGCTTAGATATATTTCATTTTTCAAAGACACACAACATAAAAGTAGTAATACTGAATCAGACTCGAAGCTTAATGAAATAAATAAAGTATAAAACAGAAACACCCATAGATCTACAGACAAGGGAATATGGAAGAATATAAAGTGCAGAAACTAAAGTCAGCTAAACCTGCTTGGGCCGAATGCTAGGCCGTGGTCCATGGTACTTAACAACTCCAGTCCACGATGCAACGAAGAAGCTGCACATTAGCTCCACCAAAACCCTCTGAAAAAAAAAATATGATGAACTAACTAAGTCTAGGCATAAACTTTGCATGTGGTAAATGTGCTACAATACGGGTAATGCACAAGCTTGCTAGAAGAATATAGACAACCCCCCAAAGAGAGAATGCCTAAAATTGCCTGTTTGCTTATTTGCAATTCTAACCTTTTCTTCCCTTCTTACACATACTCACAGACAAAAGAGACATAAAAGCAGCACAAAATAAAAATGCATAAAATTCAAACCTCCATCTTTTTCCGCAACTTATCATGCCCTTTGAGTAGCAAGTGTACAGGAGTGAAGGATGAGAGAAATATTATCCATCCTATTGTCAACACCACAACCCTGCAGATTTAACGGCACATGGAAACTCTGAAACAAGGCGACTATTCCAACATATAATACACTACCTAACAAATCTCTAAAAATGACATAAGCAAGATTCATCTAAACAAAAACCATCATGCATTAGATAATTGGAAGTTACTTTGAGAGGTACAATGGCTAACCTCGCAGGGAATAAAATCAAGTACCGAACTGCCACTCCGAAACACCACAGTGGGAACAAATATACATTCCAGTTCCATGGTTCAGGAGGATTCGACTTAAAACATCGTGTGAATGAATCCTGCTCATTCAATACACCGCTGGAATCAATTAAATCTTGCAAATTTGTCACAAGGTTAACCTTATTCTACTCAAGATCAAAACTTTAGGGTGAACACAAACACGTCAAATGATTTTTTCACGAAAAACTAGTCGATACTTAAACTGTTACTCGCACTCAAATATAATTGTTCATAAAAAAAAAATCATGCATTTTTTTAATTCAAAAAACTAAAATTTTTAATTATTCAAAACATAATTTCCTTTTGTCAATCATAAATGATTTTCCCGGGAAACATGCAGAACTCTTAAAATGAATGAGAGAGAGAGAGGGCTTACATCAACAATGGCACCAGCAGCTTCAGTTAAAGTGGGAGAAATATCAAGCAAATCGCGTCTGAAACCATTTCAAAATCCATATTCAATCAACCAACAAATCAACCATATAATTAACTAATTTTCAAGAAACAAATTCCAAAAAGACAAAAAGGGAAAGAGAGAGGGGTAAGTGAAATTACAGGCGAAGCTTGCCGCGAGGTTCGTTAATGGAGGATCCGGACGGGAGATAATCTTCGATGTTGGGTCGATCCAAGTCCAATTCGGAGCTGGATGAGCTCAGCTTCCCTCCACTGCTACTCATGCCTCCTCTTTCGCTTTCTGATTCGGTTTGGTTGTTGGGATTTTTGTTTGGCTTTGGTTTTTTTTCTTCTTTTTCTTTTTTCTTTATATTGATAAAACCAAACGGCTTTTCCTTCTTCATTTACTTTTTTCCGCCACGCAATACACTGTGTAACTATTTTATTACTCGGAAACTTCAATGCATTTGTTTCCTTCTTAACGCCTCTTTGACAATTTTTTCCTTTTATCTTTTTTAAAAAATAATATTTTTAATTTTTATAATCACTAATTATAAAAAATTATTTAATTTAAAATAAATAATATAAAAAAATTCACTGCAAATTTTCTCTTGTTTTCATTATTTAATTAATCTTGGTAATATTCCTTTTTTACATTTATGTCCCTGTCTTCCTACAGTATTCTTGTTCCATCTCAATATTGTATTAATTTATATACAGTCAGCATATAAAATTTATACTTTATTATCTAATAACAAAAAGTTGTATTACAAATATGTAAATATTAAATTTAATTTTTTTAAAAAAATAAATATTTTTAAAATTATAAATATTTATTTACTAGATTTTCTTCTTGTTTGCTAGTGAAAATCGACAATCAATGCATATTACATAAAGTCATTGGATAAGATTTCTTTACTTTATGCCTTAAAGAATGGGTATTGATGAACATGTCAAATAATACTATAGTTGGAAATATTCCCTGGAGTGTCCTACTTGTTTATACTTTATGGTTTATCTGGTATTGGCTTAACTTCTGTATCTTTGATGCTTCTTTCTCTTCGCCTTACAATGCTTGGCAACAGATATGGTCCAGGTCGAAGGGGGCATGGAACATCGTGAGGAGAGAGTGGAGTAGAATGAAAGAAGAAATTATAATATCTTGAGAAACGCCTAATTATTCTTTTGTTAAATTGAACGTTGATGGAAGTGCACAAGGACAGTTAGGGGTAGCTGTCGCCAATGATTTGCTCAAGGATGAAAATGGTAATTACATAGTGGGTTTCACATACAAAATTGGTATTACATTTTCATTATCATCTGAATTATGGAGAATTTATTGGGATAGAGGCTATAGGAAAGTCCAAGTGGAGTCTGACTTTTTATTAGCATTATAAAAAATCAGAGGTCAAAATATCATGTTTGATCTTAATGTTAATCTTTTAAAATTCATTAAATAGCTACTTAATCGAGATTGGAATTGTTCGATATCTCACGTTTATTGTGAAACTAATAAATATGTCGATTTGATGGTTATTAATCATAAAAATTTAAATTTAGGTTTACGTATTTTTTATATTCCTCCTTATGGTATTGCTCTATGTTTATTTGTAGATTGTCTAGGCATAACCTGGCCTAGAATGGTGTAAGTTGCACATTGTTTAGACCTTTCAAGGCCATTTTCATTTTTTATGCTATTGGGTTTTAATGGTTTTGGTTGTATATTTTTATATTTATTTGTTTAAATCCTTTAGATAGCTATTTTAATTTGAAAACTAGTTACCAACCCTTTGTTACACTGCAAGAGTTGTTAATTGATACATACATGACGTTTGATGTCTTATAATATAATCACATGACATATAATATTATTGTAAAAAAAATAACATTACGATGTAAATGCAAATAAGATAACATTATAATGTTTGATTTTACAAACACTTTATTATAAATGTAATATCAATTTTTAAAATTATTCTTATATATTAAAATATAAATTTAATATACTTGTATTTTTTTATTATTAATTTTTATATTTTATCATCTTTTAAATATATTTTTAATATCATATATTTTATTTTTATTTTTTATTATAATCTCATATATTTTTTTCTTAATATAATCTCATATATTATATATTTTATTTTTATTTCAATTTTTGAATTAACTATCATCCATTTTGTTAGTATTTTCTTTTCTTTGTTTTCCTCACGATTAAACGCATCAAATTTAAGAAGTTATTTAAATCTGCAAGTTTAGTATTTTCTTTTCTTTGTTTTCCTCACGGTTAAACGCATCAAATTTAAGAAGTTATTTAAATCTGTAAGTAACAATCATCCCTTCAAATCTATTATATAATATTTATACATTATCATTTAATAATAAAAAGTTGCATTGCAAATGTAAAAACATTAAAATTTAAAATTTTTTCAAAATAAATATTTTTTAAATTATAAATATTTATTTACTAGATTTTCTTCTTGATTGCAAGTGAAAATCGACAAGTAATGCATATTACATAAAGTTAAGTGGATTAACAATGCAAGGATTATTATCTTTCAAAACAAAAAAGAAACTAATGCCAGGATTATTCTTAAGGCTAGGCCGCATCCTAGGCAATTGGGCCTCCTTCAAAATAATAAAACAGAGATTTTACTTGTGGGACCACAAATAAAGAGGAGTACATTGGGCGTCAAATTGATTAATTGCTTGAGAGGATATAAAAATCAACAAATTGAAACGACAGCGTTCAGGAGATTTTATTGGCGGCAACGCAACGGTTTCTTTTTGAATGGCGGTTGCGGGCGTAAAGCCCAAGTGCACATACATGTCTTAACGTATTCAAGATAAGCTTACAAGTATCGTTTTTCTTGTTAGAACATTTAATTCAATAGTAAATATATTTTTTTTTATTTAAAAAAATTTTAAATAATTGAATGACATTGAAAAAATAGATTTGAATTTTTAGAAATTAAATCTTATTGCAAACATGATTTCAAATAATATTTATGATAAAAGAAGTCCAATTACAATTTATTATTAATTATAAATAAATATAAGTTTACATCTACTTTTGTTTCTTAAATAGACCATAATTTGAGTCTTATGCTTCCGTTCAGCGCTCCGTTTTGCTTGATTTTTTTTTCATGATTTTACATCTTATATTCAATTTTAGTTATCAAATTTAAACCATTAATTTTTCTAAAAATAAATAATTTAATAACAAGAATGATGTCAATATAAAAAATTTATTAAATGCATGACACAAAAATCATAAAAGAAACATCAAGAATGAAAACAGGAAATTTTCGTTCATATTACAATTAAACAGAAGAATTAAAAATTAAGGCAACAATGAAAACTCATACTTGCTGGGTGAGTCTAATTAAAAGGGCTTTAACTAAATTCTTGGGGACCCTTAGTTTGGTTATCCTCTCTCCTAATTATAGTGATAATTTTTGTAAAGAGTGAAGCCAATGGACCCCAAGGCTATGGTTGAGAGTCATTAGGTTGTTGGCCGATTCAGATGCAAATAAAACATACACAACATATATATATATATATATATATATATATATATATATTATAAAGATATAACATGGTGAGCTCTTTGTAAATTTTTTTAATGCAAAGTCGTTGGGATGAATAAAAATAACAAGCATCTAAGTTGACCTATTCCCTTTTTCCTTGATTTGTTTTGATCAATTCAATTAGTGTTTGGACTCAGTTCTCCTTTTAAAACGGAGGCAATTGGCATCTTGTGGCTACAGAGCTCCATTTTCTACTCACCTGGTGACGCTCGAACCTGTGCTGGTCTTTTGGGGCATGAGTGGGGGAGGGGAGGACTGAGGAGGAAGCCTTTTTGGACAAGCAAAACAAACAATTAAAACGTATCTAGAGATTGACAATAACAGTTCAGAGTTTGTTGTAAGAAAAAAATAAATAAAAGTTCTCTTATGTTTTTTATGATTTTTATTTCGTGTTATTTTATTTTTTATTTTTCTTGATTAGTACAAATGAATATTGTTTTGATATAGTGTTTTTAAAAAAAACACTTAAATTATTCAAAAAAATTTAATTTTTATATTTTATAACTAATGATAAATTAATTATTATTAATTAAAATATCATTTGTTATTTTATATCAAATGATACTGATATGATAGATATGTTATAATGTTATGATATGATATGTTGATATCATACGATGACATGATAATATAATATTTTTACTTTCATATTAACATTTATCGTTTTGAAAATATAAAATGATAAGTGATATTTTAACTATTAATAATAATTTATTTAATTTAAAATAAAAATACATGAACTTAATTAAATGTAATATAAGAGTAATGACTTATTTAAATATTTTTTTGAATAGATCAAGGGCTTTTTCAAACATTGTGTCTTTTTTTAATTAATATCTTGTAGAAAATTTTTGTTTTTACTAAAATTACCAAAATTTTAATCTATTTACACTTAAAAGTATTTTTTTAATTTTATTCATTAAAATTAATAGTCTATTTTTTTAAAACTGAAATTATTCACAAGCTATTAATTAAGAAAAAAGATATCCACAAAATACCACTCAAAAAAGAATCCTAAATGGTTATAAAAAAATAAAATTCATTAAAAAAATCAATCCCCATATACAAATCCATGTCCAAGCTTAATAGTTTATTGAATTAAGGAATCCAAAGATGAAAAAGCCGGTCTTTACAACATCCAGAGAAAAGAATAATGAATGAATGTCAGGGTATATAAGGTTAATACTTTCGTTCCAAAAACATAAATCTAAGCCATTAGATTAAATATCAAATTATCATGGTCAGTGCAACAGTTGGACAGTGAGTGGCCTATTTGCAATATTATATGAATTTTATCTATTCAGATCATATGCCTTCCATTTAAATAAATAGTCGACCGTTTATATAAGAATTTTCTTCTCTTTTTTTTTTATAAAAATTTCCAGATAAATATATTGTTCTAACATTCAAATTAAAATTCATAACAGATAATTATCGGTGTTAAGATGAACTGTTAACATAATCATAGTAATTATACAGAAAAAGGGGCTTCTTTTAATTATAAATTGCTAGAGTTTCTCTATTTATTATTTGACGAAAGACCTGTCATCATCAAGTAACCACCGCGCAATTATTGACAATGGCGAGCGGCATTGGGATCAAACGTGCTTGACTAAATTGCAAGGCAAACACATGAGAATTGGTTATTATCAAAGGAAAGAAGCAAAAAAAAAAAAAAAAATCATGCTTAACATCTCACTATCAGGAGTACTTGCCATGCCATAAAATAAAATACCTGATGAAATCTGGCCGACCCCACTACAAAATGCGGTCCGTTCGGTTTGCCTTAAACAAACAATAC